ATTTGTAGACATAACGTTTCCATTGAATTTCCCACATTTCATTAGCTTAATTTACTCGTAGTCTCGAAACCCTACCAACAAATGAAAAAAGAAGTAATGTGGTCGATTACTATAGCAAATACAATGTTGCTTCATCAACAATCCCACCACCGAATGTGGTATAGGAAATTACATGACCTTCCTTGAAATTCACATCTACACTGTCATAAAAGGACATTCGTGATAACGTGGTGTTGTGTTAACGCGCCAAAATTATACTCTGAACTGTCATGTCTCGAATCCCGCTAGGGGTGTTGATATGACCTAGGCGTGGTCAAAACAGCCGTCCATTTCACTCTCAATAAGAATAACTTTTGGCTAGCAAGGCTATTTGAAAATCACAGGAAACTTCATGTATACACGTATGAATATTGGAAAAATTATCTACCAGTCCCCCTTCTCACACCAAACGATGTAGGTTGAATACATTTTATATGTGTGGTATTGTTGAATTGCTGTTAACTTGACGCTTTTGTAAGAATTAATTCGAAGTCCGACGATGTCCCTTCCTGTGGCATGACATACGAAAGCTCACTCCTTTTTCACCCGAGGCTAGGGTGGATGCCTCAAGGTCGCATGCGCCAACGTGAGAGTTGGAGTCTGGCCAAACGGTTGCAAAACAAACGGAATTGGCCGTAGTGTTCCGGTGAGATAAAACTACGAATCTCTTCACATGTAATTAAACTTTGCACGGAATTGTTATCTTAAGAGATCCTTCGTATATACAAGAATTACTGATAGTTTCGAAGACTACTTATATCGAAAGTATCTGTTAGCTCGCCTAATTTACCTATGCTAGCAGCCTCTTCCCCTCTGCTTGGCTGTGATTGGTTCAGGCTCGATTGGGGTGGACCAATCACAGAAGCCGGCCCCAGACTGGCCTGTTGGGAAGGCCTGATGCCTCCGTGGGCCAGTGGTGGGCTGTAGCTGAGGCCCGAGTGACGTCGAGCTTTGTTAACCGATCTCGTCTGCTGTGTCGCCAGGGCTACGGAGCGAGCCAGCAAGAGGCGACAGCATGTACGGCCTGATAATCGAGGGCGTGAAGCACTTTGTGGACACCGTGTACGGTGAGGACGTCTGGCCGATACTGCTAGAGCTGGCCAATGTGCGGAATCGCGAGTTCCAGACTCGGTCCGTCTACCAGGAGACCATAATCGAGCGGCTTATGGTGGCTCTTGCTAAGATGATCGACTCCACGCCGGCCGATCTGCTCTACCAGAACGGCAAGCATTTTGTCACCTTCATGTGCGAAGCCGGCTACCAAAAGCTGTTGCGTGTGTTGGGCCGTGATTTTGTCAACTTCATGCACAACCTGGACAATCTACACGAGTATCTGCGCTTCTCCTACCCGAAGATTCGACCGCCCTCGTTTGTAGTGATCTCCGAGACACCGAAGCAAATCGAATTGCAGTACTGCACCAAGCGCAATGGCTATGCGCCCTACGTCAGCGGCCAGTTGCAGGCGATAGCGGAAAAATTCTATAACATTGGCCTGACGGTCGAAATCGTCTCCACCAACCGCGAGGGCATCCTCTACACAACCATCTTTCGACTGTTTAACAATACCGGCGAATGGCCAATCGAAGTGGTCGACTCGTCGGTCTGCATTGTAACGGAGCCGAGTCTGAATCTCAATAACTCGGAGGACTACAACAACTCCAGCATTGTGCCCTGGGAGAGCAGTTACATCAATAGCGACGAGTTCTTTGACATTTTTCCCTTCCACCTCGTCATTAACGAAAACATGCAACTGGCCCACGTGGGCAGAGGCTTTCTATATTTGGACAAAACTCTACAGGGCCTGAGTTTCAACGACAAGTTCATCATTGCCAGGCCCTTCATAGAGCCGACTATGAATCTGGTGAGTAGGACAAAGACGCTGTCCAGCGACGTGGCGCAGGCCACGTTAAGTCACTCGGTCCAGTCTATGGGATGTATTGACCTTTTTTCTTTAAAGGTGATAAACTGACTGGTAATTGAATGTTTCCCACAACCTTTACAGGGGACCTCACATTTCCTGTGGATTTCACTCCGTCTTACGTCAAAAAAGCTATTCTCATCAAGGCAGCAGTGGACTGCCGTTTCAACCTCGCTTAATCTCGTCTCATCAGCACCCCCAGCGCGATTTGAGCTCGGGTTGTTGTAGGACAGCATATAGTCTCGACACATAAACCCCAAAGTCGCATTATCACGAATGCCCTTGGATCACAGGCTAGATGTGAATTTCAAGGAAGGTCAGGCATTTTCCCAGATCACATTCTGTGATGGGATAGTCGATGATGCATTATTGTATTTCCTGTCACAATAATAGATCAAATAAATGATTTGAATTCACCATATTTATCATATATCCGATCTACTGGTAGTCTCTAAAACCTACTTATGAAGTAAAAACAAGTAATATTTTCGGTTGCTGCAGGAAATAAAACTTTGCATTATTGAAAATCCCGCCACAGAATGTGATATAAAAAATGCCTGGCCCTTCTTGGAATTCACTTCTGTTCTGTGACCGAAAGGTTAAGAAACATCAAATCGAAACATGAGGCCTACTGATATAATTGTGGGAAAATTTGACTAACGGTACTTCATCACCTTAAAGGAAATAGGTTGAATAAACATATCATATATGTGATCTAGTAGTCTCGAAATCCTACTCATAAATCAAAAATTGTGAAAACCATTTTTGACAAATCTAGGCTGATGAACGAAATCGGAGCGGCCATGTGGTGAAATGTAGGCGACCCAGTTGACGGATCGGCGGGTCTATTTGGACGACACCAAGGATCGAACGCATTCTGACACCCTGCACAAGCACTCAGAGTTGTGTCTTCTATCATGGCAGCATTCTAGTCTTTCAGGTTCACATAAACTGACGAAGGACTGATATGAATAGGCTTCATGTTTACAGCGAATTGTCCATGCCCATGCCCATGTTTCCTAAAAGGAAAATCTCGAATATGAATCCCAATCACCCTGGGTGATAGTTTAGAAGCCTAGTTTCTATGGCTATAAGTGACGAAGACGATTTAAATATATATGAGATGTATTCATTCTATTTCGTTCAAGGTGATGAGGGGACTGGTAGTTGGATTTTCCAACAAGGATATGAGTATACCTTATGTTTTCATTTAATTTCTTCTAGCTTTGCTTCACGAAAGGTGTTCTCATCCAGACAGGAGTGGATCGTAGTTTCGACCTCACAAAAACAGGTCTCAATAGCACCTCCAGCGGGACTCGAACCGTGAAGCGTATAATATCAGCATGTTAACCGATTCGCTATAGTGTCACGAGTGCCCCTGGGCTACAGAGTGGCTGCGAATTTTGAGAAAGGCAAGGCATTTTCCCAAATCACATTCGGTGGTCGGATTGTAGATGAAGCAAAGTTGTATTTGCTATAGCAATAAATTGCATCTATTATATCAGATCTTTTGATCGTTTCGAAAACCCACTTGTAAACTGAAAATCCGTAATCTAGTCGATTGTGTGATATGGAAGAATGCCTTGCCTTCTTTGAAATTCACGCCCGCCCTGGGACCCAAGTGCACTCGTGGCAATGTGGCGTAGTGGTTATCGTGTCGAGATTACATGCCGTAATGTCATGGTTCGAGTCCTGCTAAAGGTGCTGATTAGGCCAGAGCAGGAGGGGTCAAAACTGCGGCCCATTAGATTCTGGATAAGAATATCTTTTGGGAAGTAAGGTTATGCGAAATTCAATGGAAACGTAAGGTCTGCTGCTAATATGATTGTATCCCCTTATTACCTTAAATCAAATAGCGTGAATACACCCCAAATATATAATCTACTGGTAGCCTCTAAAACCCTTATAAGCGATTGCAATAGCCTTATTGACAATCCAAATATAAAGTTTGATATAAGAGAGACCTGGCCTGCTCTGTGACCCGCAGAGATTCGTGCCAGTGTGATGTAACGTATGGAAAGTGTATTGTTAGATCACTCCGGGGCGGTTGATGAATAACAGACAATCCATTCTAGATGAAAATACCCTTTGGGAATAAAAGCTAGGTGAAGGTTAATGGAAACATAAGGCCTGATCATATGATTGTGCGAAAGTTCAACTTGAATATAATATAAAAGCTGAACGGCTGCAGTACAACGATTTTCATCCGTCCTCATCTGATCGACAAACGAATCTCTTCATCATGTACTTTCATTCGAAATGAAGGTCCCCCTAACAATAAGAATCCTTCATTATCTTATGCCACCCTTCAGGCTTTAGTAAGAGTATCGAAACCAACTTCATATGAATATGGGCATTCAAACATGTCGAGGGAGGTGGGTTCCTTTGTGTGAAGTCGAGATTGCATTCACACAAGAATTCATGTACAAGTGAAAGAAGCACAACTCTCTTCACCACCAGACTTGATGCCACTATAATCTGGCAAGTTGCTGGCGGTACGGGATTCAACGTCTTTTCAAGTTGTCAAAGTCAAAACCCCATAGGTCCAGAATGAACTTGTCGCAGTGGGCTTGGAGGGTTAATGAAAGGAAGTAGCTGAAAGACAACGACTAAACGAAATGAATTTCCAATAAGTAGGCCTGAAACCTACCAGTATATATTGAATAACAGCTGAGGTCACTCTGGTTCGCATTCGGTAATAAATAGTTGAATTTTCCCACATTCATATGAATAGCTTCACGTTTAGATTAAATCTCACAGAGTTTTACTGTCTCATCCAGGCTGGAAAGGACTCGGCTGCAGTTTCGACCTCGCCTCCAACGGGACTCGAACTGGATTAGGGCAGCGTGTAAGTTTGACATGCTTCTTCTACGCCCCGTTACTATCGAAGGCCAGAACTATCCTGTATCCCATTTATAGCGGGATTGTCGTTAGGCAAACTTATGTATGCTATTACAATAGACAAAATTAATTAATTTCGTATTGCGTATGCCTCGAAGCTAGCAAGAGCAAATTCAAGCTTGCTTCATCGACAGTCCTTCTACAAAAATGTGTTATAAGAAAGGCTTGGCCTGCCTTGAACTTTACACACTGACATCCGTGGCAATGTGGCGTGATGGTAACATGTCGAAATCCTAATCTGCACCTCCCTGGCTCGAGTTCCCTTGGGGGTGCTAACGAGACCCAGCCTAGTTCAGTGGGAATGAGAATACCTTTTGAGGAGCAAGACTAAGGGAAATTCGTTGATATCCTGGGGCCTAAATATGTGGTTGTGGGGAAAATCTAACCATCCGTTTCTTCATCAGCCTACGCGACTTTGGCTGATTACTGATCTTATTCGAACGAAATGTCCCTGATTCACAGATCCATTGAAGGACGAATGACATGACTTATAATGTCTCTATTCTGCTATAATTGCTAATCTACACATTGTTCTTTAATACAATTTTCAGATTCGCCTGTATCGTCACAACAACTTCGAACTAGTTCTTTTGGTCAGCGAAGATGGTAAGGAGAATTTGTTGTGATTTTTTTTAGCAAATTATTATAAAATTTTATTTCAATTGTGTTCTCAGTTAAGAAGCCTAGCTTGGTCAGGCTGAAGGAGGACCGGTCTCTTACTCATTCTCAAGAGAGCTGTAGGTCCTCTTAACCAGAACTTGAGTTAGCCAAGGCTGTTTACGATGATTTGAGGACTGAAGGTTGAAATGTGTAGGTCATTCATGATGCCAGTATATTTGCCTCCCAGACGAGGCATGAACAAAAGTTCAGACAGGACGAGTGAGCATTGTGGATATCGTGAATGGGCTACGCATTTCATTTTATGTTCGTAAGTAGCGTTTCACGGCTACCACTGAATCATTTGTATGAGGTGTATTTACCCTATTTAAGCAAATGAAGAATTGATAGTTGAATTTTCCCACAATGATATTAGTAAAGCTGGCGTTTCCAATGAATTTCACATAGCAATGCTTTACCAAAAGATGTTATCATCCAGCCAGAAGTGGACTGCTGTGTCGATTCGTATCCATGTGGCAAAATTCAACTACCAGTGCTTCATCACCTTAAACGAAATAGGGGGAATACATCTCATATACATTTCATTGACAAAAAACTTTACGTATATAAGTAGAGTTTTAAAACTACCAGTAAATCAATTATATGAGATGTATTCACCATATTTCGTTTAAGGTGATGAAGGACTGGTAGTAGAATTTTTCACAATGATATGAGTAGAGCTGACGTTTC